ACATAATCCAAAAGGGTGTGGACGTATGGAGTTGATTCTTTGTAGTTCTTAGGGGGTATCCATAGGGAGCACCCTGGTGAAAGATGCTGAGTACTCGTCAAACCGTTGCCAGGAATACACCAAAAAACCGCAACCACACCAATAGTGCCGAAGACAGCAGTCTACTAGGGTCAGGCTGGTAGCAGGGGAGGCCAAGCTAGCTTGGCCAGTGGAAACACTTGCTGCTGTTGTCTCTCAGTGTCGACAGGGCACCTGTCGGCACGGGGTAGGAACTGGTCCAGAGACCAGGGTTCCCACCAAACAAAACAAAAACAGATGAGCAGGTGCACAGCTACCCCAACACAGTCTATGTTGGTTAGACACCTGTCACAAAAGGACAGCCCTGGCTAGGAGACGGTAAACAAAATTGGTAACATTGGTGGACCAGACGTAAACACAGCATATCCATTGAGTAATCCTCAGGTAAGCACAACACGTAATCCATGGGCAAGTCGAACACTCACTTATGCACCACACACATCACAGGAACACAACACAAACACAGTGGTGGTGAGCAAAATGGCATCCACAGGGTCAACTTGTACAAGTGGCCCGGGGAGAGAAACATGGCGGCCTTACCCAGTCTTCCCTGTTGTAGACAGCAACGTTGAGGAAGACAACATGGCATCCAGCAGGATGAACACTCACCAAGTAAAAATAGACACAGCACAACTAAGCCTAAAACAAGGCCCAGGAACCAAATACCAGCTAAGCCTAAAAGTAGGCCTAGCAAAACTAGAACCCAGCTAAGCCTAAGACAGCCCTAAAAAGCTATACTTCACTATAGCAAACACTGTCCTAAGCCTAAAACAAGGGTTAAAAACACGACTAAGCTAAACTGACTGCAGTTGAAGAGCACAGAAAGACACAACCTTCCACTCAAAGAGCTAGACTCAGAATAGTAGATAGGGTCATTTCATTTCATTTGTTGGAACAATGTCGATCGACTACGGCTCAAGTGTGGCCGACCCTTTCGACTGTTCCTGTTTAATGTTTCTCTACACCGCTAGGCTTCGTAGAGAGTTTTAGATAACAATTAACAGGTAAAATACAGATAGGAATTAATGCGCAACATTATTTCCTCCGCGATACCGGAATTTGTTATATACATACCAAATTGCGTGTACTAGAGCTATGCCGAAATTTACAGGTTACTGCTTTCTTTGTACTTGTTGTTCGTGTAGACCAAACAGAGGAGGTGATTGAAGAGGTTGGCGTTCAGAATCGTTGTAACTGGGGAGATGGGCCAGTTGAATCCCTCGAGTTCACTGATACAGTGGAGCTCTTGCCTTGGTTTCTCAAGCCTGATGCAGTCGAAGAGGAGATGAAGTGGGTCCTTTGGAACTCCACATCTTGTACAGAGCGGAGAGTTGGCGTGTCCATGCTTGTATAAGTAGCTGTTAAAGTTACCGTTGTTGGAGAAGAATGCAGTGGTGTGGTGGTCCACGATGAGGTGTTTGCACTGTATCCTTTGGTTTACATCTGGGAAGAATGTAAAGAGGTCTCTTCCTTTGTCGGATGCTTCCCACTGCTGTTGCCATAACTTGCGGTAATGGAGCTTTGTCTGTTACTGGGTACTACTTCTTGGGATGAAGTTGTGGATAGGCCTCGTGTCTTGATCGCATGCTTCTTTTGCCAGTTTGTCTGCTACCTCGTTCCTGTAAAGACCAACGTGGGCCTTTACCCAGCAGAAGTAGAGGATGTTCTCTCTCATATTCCTGAGAATGTGCCAAATGTCCTGCACGAGTTTCCCTTTGCTGTTCATGTCTTGTAGGGCATCGAGTGCTGACTTGCTGTCTGTACAAATTAAGGTCTTACAGCGGGCAAAGTGGTGATTTACCCATTTCACAGCTTGCTTGATGGCGAATAGTTCAGCCTGGAAGTTACTGCAGCCTTTGTTGAGCTTCCAGGTTTGCTGGTAGGAAGCGTGATCCTTGTGGAGGTAGACGAAGGCCGCCCCGACACCGTTGGGGCCCCTGGAGCCGTCGGTGTAGATACGGTTGCTGAAGTTGGCGTTGTGGCTGACGATGTTGATGTCTGGAATACTCCTGAAGGGCAGACGTTGAGTCGCTGGGATGTAGGGCTTGATGATGGCGTCTTCAACTGTGATGAAGTCTGGTGGTTTCCCATTGAGTCGGAGTAAGAAGAGGTCATGTTTCTGATTGACTTTCAGATCCAGCGGGAGGACGCCGGCCAGGACGTGGAGGGCGTCATTGGAGACAGTCCTGTATGCTCTGGTAATCCTAAGGAGGATCTTCCTTTGAATTGCGATGAGTTTCCTCTTGGTGCGCGTTTGGGCTGTCTTGTTGCTCCATGCACCCGCACTGTATATGATCATGGGAACGATTGCTCCTTGGTAAATCTTCTTTAGGGCCATCTCTGAGAGTCCCCAGTCCTTCCTGGCCTCTTTGGCGAACCAGGCAAATAGGTTGCTTGTTTTTTCTGATAGTTTTTCAATGTGTGGTAACCAGCTGAGTTTGTCGTCAAGAGTGATGCCAAGATAGTCCATCGTAGAGGTGTTGTTCAGGTGTAACTTCGGGTGTCTTTTATTGGCATTGTAGTTGGTTATTATCATGGCGTTGGTTTTACTGGGGTTAAAGCGGAGCTTGTTGTCCTCACCCCAGTAGTGGATTTTCTGAAGAACACTGTTAGTTTTGTGTTTTAACTTGGCTCTGCTATCTGCTGAGATGATCAGGAGCACGTCATCTGCGTAGGCCGTGACATGATAGCTGTTTAAGAAGTTCTTGTTTAAAAGATCGTCCAGGATAATGCTCCGGTAGTGGGGACCGGAGCAGGAGCCTTGCGGGCAGCCAATGGTGACCTGCTTGGAGACACACACATCGCCATATGAGAGTGAGGCAGAACGGTTAGAGAAGTAGTCCATGATCAGATTATAGATGTTGCTTGGGCACTGTCTATCTTCGAGTTTGGTAAGCAGCAGGGGCCACCAGGCGTTGTCGAATGCGCCCTGAATGTCTAGGCTGATGGCCGCGGTCTGCGCTGTGGTTGATTTACAATCTTGGAGTTTGTTGACCACTCTGTAAATGGTGTCCTATGCGCTGATATCCTCCTTGAAGCCATACTGGTGGGCATGGAGTGGGCAGTGGGAGTTGATCCATTCTTTCAGTCTAGTTGTTATCAGATGGTCTAGTAGCTTCCCCAATATGGGGATCAGGCATATTGGCCTGTAGCTCTTAGTGTGCCTAGTATCCTTGTTCTTTCCTTTATAGATGGGGATGACTGTGGCCTTTTTCCAATAACTGGGGAAGACACTGTGCCGGAGACAGCAGTTGCAGAGAGACAGGAACAGCGACGGGATCCTTCTGTGGATATACCGTAGGATCTCTATCGTGAGGCCATCATGCCCAGGTGCCTTGCTGCACTTGAATTTCGCAAGGGCCCAGTTGATTTCATTCTGGGTGAAGTCTGGGGTGTCAGCACCTGTGGACTTGTACTTGAGGCAGTTCCTTATGTTGACATGGGTTAGGTTGTCTGAGGCTGGGTCGTCTTTCTTGAACTCATCTAGCAGAAGGTTTACGCAGTCTTTGGTGTTGTTTTTTTGAACTCCTTTGCTGTTTTTGAGGTCCGTTAGCTGGAACTTCTCTCTTAGCTTGTTCGTCCCTATTTTGTAGAGGACATTCCATGGGTCGGCGGAGGAGCGGGTGCAGAAATCTGCCCAGCTTTCCTTTTTGACTTTTTGGATATGGTCTTTGTATTTCTTCTGTTCCTCCACGTAGTTGTTTTTCAGAAGAATGCGGGCATCCGGATCATTACACTTTTGGAATCTCCTTCTTGTAGCTTGTAGTTTGTTTTTGTGAGTCTGCAGTTTGCTGTTCCACCAGCGGACGATGCGGTCCTTATCCTTGTGTAGTGGGATGTTGTACTCGATGGTTTCAGTGAGAAAGTGCATGAAACGGTTGATGACGTTGATGGCTTCTGTTTTGGAGTTGATGGTCTCGAAGTTAAAGTTGCTTGAGGTAATCCTGTTGATGATTCTCTCCCAATCAGCAAGTCAGAGGTTGAATTTCTTGATGTTCGAGACAGGCACCGTTGTGTTTGTTAGCTTGTAGGTAATGTAACGATGGTCGGATAGTGTAACTTCGTCCAGCACCCTCCAGTCCATGATGTAGTTGAGGGCCAGCCTGTTGCAGATCGTGATATCCACGTTGGACGTGCCGGTGCTGCTTTCGAACGTACTTAGGTTCCCTGGTTCATTGACGAAGTACAGATCCTTCTCCCCCGCAAATTTTTCGATGCCGTCCCCTCTGTTGTCTGTTTCATCCTCGAACCAAATGTACGAGTGTGCATTGAAGTCGCCTCCTATGACGATGCAATGAGTCATGTTGTATTTGTCTATCACTTCTTCTATCATCTTGAGGGCTTCTTCCATGAACGCATCCATCAGGACATAGACGCAGCCAACTAGCCAGTGCTGTCCTTCATTGTTGATTTCTATGAAGGTTTGGTATTCGTTGCAGTGTTGGGTTAGAAGTAAGCAGTTGATGTTCGGGTCTGTTATGCCGATCATGGTCCATGGTACTTTGTTATTACAGTGGTACAGCTTCTTCATACGGATAGGCCATCCATAAGGGGTACCGTCCTTCTGATATGGTTCCTGGATAAGCAGAACACTGGCCAAACTCGCCTGTCCAGCAACCAACTGGGAAACCGCTGCTATGCCTCTGCCGAGGTTAGTCTGTAGAAAATTAAGGGTTGACGAATTCCTGTTCTGTTGTTGGCTTTCCTCATTAACATCGGTTTTCTTATCCATAGTTTGTTCTTGCTTGGATATTTCTTATAATTTTTGCTCTTTCACTACAGCAGTTTTGGTTTGCTCTGTGAGCAAAGGTATTGGCTTTATTTCGGACGCAGTTAATACAACTGGGCGCTGTACTTTTGTTATGGCATTCTGCGTACTTGTGGTCACCCCCACAGTGATTGCAGTAGGCTTTGTCACTGGATCATTCTTTGGCGAAATGGCCGTACTTGCAGCATCTGAAGCACTGAATGATGATGTAGTATTCTTCAGTGTTGCAGCATACCCAGTCTATATTTATTTTCTTCTGCTTGGTAAGTAGTTTCTTCAGCTTTGGTGAGACTTCGCATACCCAGTGGTTTACGTCTTGCTTTCTTCCCCATTTGTATTTGATAACGATATCTTTTCTGTATTCTTCCAGGCTGGGATATTGGTCAGCGATCCTCGGATTTTGTCGAAAGACTGCTTCTATTATTTCTTCCTTCCCAAGATCGATCGGCACGTTGTAAATGGCCATCTTCGGGAGGGACTTTTTGGGCTCCCTTGCAGTGAGGTTGTTGATTTTGTTGATTTCTTCTATTATCTTTTCTTCCTTTCCTTTTCTTTCTATCTCGACCAGGACACTTTGGTTCCTAATCTTCCTTACTTTGGTGATTCCGACCTTAAGTTCCTTTGGGTTGAGCTGTTGCTTGACCTTCTTCTTGATAGATTCGGCGTCCTCCTTCTTGTCTTTGCTCTCGATAATTATTACAGCTGAACTGGTATCTGGTTTGGACTCGGGGAGGTTTCTTTTGACTATGCCCGCGTAGGTCCCAGTTGGGTGCTGCTGCTGTTTAGTAACTTCTATTAGCTGATCCAGCTTTGTTGAGATAGTTTCCAGTTTGGTGTTGGCTGGCTTCTTGGTGGTTTTGAAGATGTTGATCATCCTGTCGAAGAATTCCAGGATACTCCGAGAATGTGTTTTCGTCCCAAATTTGGAGTTTGGGTTCTACTCCATATATTGCTCCAACTCATCCCTAATGTTGAAAAGTTCCACAATCCCGTGTTCTGGCAGCCCCTTATCAGGAGCGATTCCCTCGTCCCCACTCATAACAAAGTAAGAGAAAGGGATGGAGAATAAGAATAAGTGAAAATGAAAGGTAATGGCACTGAAAAGTGCCTTTTTACTGCTATTAGCACCCTCTAAAGTAGGGGAAACAGGGCCATCACGTGTAGGTCAGCAGCAGGAGACTAGAGGCTTGTGTACAGCAAAGATAGCGTCTAGAGCAGGGGTTCCCAATCTTTTTTATACTGCGACTCCCTTTACTGGCTGTAATTTTTTTGCGACGCCCTTCTAAAAGAAGATACCTGCGTGTAGCTCTAGCAGACATTAAAATTACTTCATTATTCAAAGAAAACTCCAAAGAATATAAAATCTTAATAATTATTATTTATTAGAAAACATAATAGTACAATTAATGAGAAGGGTGAGCTTGCTTTTCTGAGCATAACTTCTCAAATCGGGGCTGAAGTTTTGAAATCGCTACTCTCATTTCTTTTTCTAAATTTATTTGTGACCTGTATTTCGACTTGATTACTGCAACTGCAGAAAAGCCAGTTTCACACAAGTACGATGTAGTAAACGGTAAAAGAACCTTCAAAGCTGTAGTACTGATAGCAGGATATTCTTGAGAGACATTGCTCCAAAATTGAAATAGTTTGTCTTTATCAAATCGAAGTTTTAGACTCGTATCACAAGATAGTTCTAATAGCTGTTCTTCCTCGACTGTTGAAAGTGTAGATGGGGTTGGGATCGATTGGAATGGGTCTCTAATCCAGTCGTATTGATTTACATTATTTGGAAAATATGTATCAAAATGGGTGCTTAGTGCTGATAAGTGTTGGATAAATATCAATTGCAAACTTGGCTCCAGATTTTGAATAGATTTTTCTTGCAGAAAGCCATTTAAAACAGGAAAACAGTCAGTATTTCCATGCTCCTCTTCTATTTTTCTTTTCCACAACAGCAACTTTTTTTTAAACGCTGCAATTTTATCAGCCAGTTGCAGTATATGCGTTTCGTTTCCCTGCAGCGATTTATTAAGGACATTTAATTTCTCAAATATGTCGCAAAGATACGCCAGTTTTATTAAGAAGTCAGTATCTTTAAACTTTTCTGCGTCACGATGAGATTCTATCAATAAATACGTGTACAACTCATGTTTTAATTCGTATACACGTGAGAGTACGTTACCTCTCGACAACCAACGAGAGTTACAGTAATAAAGTAAAGATGTATGCTCGGCACCCAAATCTTCACAAAGCTTTCGGAAAAATCTTGCCTTCACGGGTCTTGTTTTTATAAAGTTTACCACTTTAATAATTATATCAATCACAAGATTTAATTCAGGTGAAATATTTTTTGTAGCCAGGGCCTCCCTATGTATGACGCAATGTGTCCATTTTGCATTTGGTGCCTTGGTTTTAATGAGAGCTTGAAGTCCTCCATATTGCCCTGACATCGCGCGAGCTCCATCTGTACACACACCAACACAGTTCTCCCATTGAATGTTATTTTCTTTCATGTATGAATCTATGATCGCAAACAAATCACTAGCCTTCCCGGTATCAGTCATTTCTTTGCAAAATAACAAATCCTCACATACATTTGCTCCTTCCATGTACCGCACGTAACATATTAATTGAGCGTCGTTATTACTGTCTGTCGCTTCATCCAGTTGAATGGCATATAAACCAGAAAGTTTTTCCACAATTTGCTCATTAATGTCTTCAGCTATGTCATGAATGCGACGACTAATCGTATTGTTAGAAAGAGGAATATTTTTTATTTCTTTAGCCGCCGATTCTCCAATCATTACTGATACCATATCAATCGCTGCAGGTAAAATAAGATCTTCAGCAATCGTGTGTGGTTTCTTGCATTTGGCAATACGGTGAGCGACCTTATAAGAGGCGAGCAGTGCTTTGGAGGAAATAGATGCTCTGGAAAACAAGGATGTCGACTGATGTTTCAGTTCTCGCAATTTTCTTGCAAAAAAATCTCGCGGTTTTCCTTGTAAATTACTGTGAACTGTTTCTAAATGACGTTTCAATTTATTAGGAAGCATACTTTCAGCTGCCAGCACCTTATGACAAACAACACATTGGGGTAGTTCCACATTTCCTTTGCTAACGTAAGTAAATCCAAAATCTAAATATTGGTCATCATATTTTCTGTATTTTTTTCGTTTTTCTACAGTTTCCTTTGTACTCTTTCCTGAGTCTTCAACACGTTTTCTATTTATTTGAATAAAGTTATCCATTTTACAATGCGCAATTTAAATAGAACACACTTGAAATCAAAACACTGATTCTTCAATGCTTGTAATCGACGAAAACAAAAGACTAAACGAAAGAGCGGGAAATTGGAGAAGCGGGGTGATGAGACGCATGCGCAGCGCACTCACTCATTACGTCGTGTGCAGGCGACCGGTGGGTATCGTCTCGCGACTCCCCTATGAAAGCGCCGCGACTCCCCAGGGCGTCGCGACGCACAGTTTGGGAAGCCCTGGTCTAGAGGACACTATAAAAACCGTGAAAATAGCTTTCGAAAACTTCGAATAAGGAGCTCACGAATATCGCACACAAACACATAGGGTCTCAGTTCCAGTAGATAGGGACAATTAATCAATCATTTTATTTTAACATGTAATATTACATATTTCCTGACCCCGCTGAGGCATTATCAGGAAAAAGAACAGTACAATAAATTTGATTAAGATTACAATAGATAAAGGTTAAATTACATTTATAATTATGTGTTATTTGTTACAATAAAAGTTTGAAGTTCAAGGTTAAATATTGGCATATAATTTGTTCCCAATACAGTAGAGCATTGTTTGTCCGAATCAATTGGGGACTGGGGTGGTTCGGATAACTTATTTTTCGGATAACGAATCATGTACGAAAAAATATATTAATTTATCCCATGTTGAAATTTTTCTCCGTTGCGTGTCGCTTCGCGTTGAATTTTCGTCGATGTTAAGCCTAACGAAGACTATTGTATCGTTAAAAATTATTTTTTTATTTTGTACAAACAAAATAAATATATTGAAAAATATAAAAAAGCAATAAAAAATTATACTCCAGAAGTTAATTTAATCAAAAACGTAAAATATTTGAGTA